CGAGGCACTTCCACAAAAGCCCAAATGATAAGAAAATGCAAAAGAAAAAGAATCGAATTTTTGTTCGAAGTTTCTAGACGATAATACCCCCTTAATGTTATTGGAAAGTCTTGCTTCAGTTTTCCTTACCATTTAAACAAAAGAAATTTTAGAAAATCGGCTGTTTTTCAGTCCTTCATAGCAGAACACCCCCTTAAATACCGTCTGCTAGCGACATAGGTATATAGAAGATATATGTGTATGTAACCTCGTAAGATACACGCTGCGACCGACGATCAAGAATAATATTTGGAACGTTTTCTTTCAGCGTGATAGAGGCATACCGTGAGCACAAGCTTACCGTGGCCGGCCACCACGCGTCGTTACGTTCGAGTCGTGAGGCCCCTTAGGCGAAAAGCTTGAAACCGGTTCCGAGAGTAAAGAATGGCTGGGTAGCCGGTCACCGTGTATACGACTCGCCACGACTTTCTAAACTTCCGTCGCACACCTTTGCACGTATACACACACACGCGCGAACATTTAAACACGTACACGCACGTACAGACACAGTCCGTAGACCGCACAGTGTTTCCGAATCCCAAAAATGTGGACGAGATTTAAGAAATAAATCGATATGTCAATAGAGCATGTTTAGGAAGAATAGAGAAATCGAGGTAATGCTCGTGAATGGACGGATCAGAAAAAATACCAAGTTATCCCACAGTGCAAGCATACTATTAACCCATTCGCGACTGCTGACGTGAATTCACGTCACTTCAAATTCTATTCCTGGTTATGAAAAAAATTATGGAAATCTTTTTACTTTATACAGGGTGAGTTTTATGAGGTGACGACCTCAAATAAATCGTAAGGTATTCGTTGTACGACAAAATGTTTCAAACAAAAGTTGCATGGTATCTAGGGAGACATACATTCATGTAACCTGTTTTTCATTACCTTACTTTTTTATTGAGATATTAGGGTTACCTTCAGTTTTTTAAATGGAATGTCTAATCTTTTTTTCGAATTCGGATAAATCATCAAAGTTTGCGTAAAAAAGTATTGCATGAAGTTGGACATCAAATGAAAAATTACTGAGATATTTCTAAAAGAAGTTTATGGGCAATAGCTGCTAACGTTGAAGTACGACATCCTTCATTATTCACAACTTTGTGATAGCTTTTAAACCGACTTCGAAAAGGATGAGAATAAATAATTTGTGTTTATATGACTATTGTTGTATTACCTATCCCCATTTAATAATGGATGATTTACTAAATAAATACTTTGAGTATCTAAACGATATTGTTTCATCTTTTCATTAAAACAGTTAAGGGATTTGATGAAATCACGTACTTTCTTTAGGGAAATCACCTCACAGAGTTATTTTAACATCTTCCGTGAATTGATTACCTACCTTAGGGATTTGATCAAATCTCCATTTTTATCATCTCCCTGCGACATATTCATCGAACGATTTGGATTATAAAGGGTTAACACCATGACCTACATCGATCTTCTTAACCATCCATATTTTCCTAGTTTAGCTACACTAAGATTTTAAGCAATATGTTAATATGTTTATGTAACGTATATACTGTATAAACCATATTCGGTTTAACAGCAATAAATAAATATAAATATTGTTGCATATGAAATGTTATTCGATCTCGGTAAGTTATCTTCACTTTACGTACTACCTTTTAACGTTTATATTCTATTATTATTAATAATAATACAAATACTTATATTTGATTCGTCACATTGGATCCAACTAAATTATGATTTCGATTTCTTAATCGATATTCTCTAAAACCTTATTACACTAATTTCCATTCAAATAGGCGTAATTTTCAGAATTTGGCCCACCATATTAAATCTCCTACTTTGTTTTTTACCTTTTGACTTGGAATTCGTAAATACAAAACTTTGTGTAAATACAATGGCGTTTGAATAGTTTGTCACGTTTTTGACATTTTAAACTACTGTAGGTCGTGCGCGCATTATGTTTTCATTTTTTCTCTTCAAGATGGTCACGGTGGAAACGTTGGGGAAAAATTTTCCTCGCTAAGTGCTACGACGACGTGGATGTGACTAACTGACATGTTGCCACGTAAATAATGTATTACGATGCAGGAAGAAAAAGGACGCTATCGATTCTATGCGATGAAGGACACAATTAATCTCGAGCCCAGTATTATCAACACGAATGCAGACCATGCGTTTTGTTTCTATTCTTGGTAATTAGACTGCGGATCTTTATGCATTTATAGGAAATTTGAATGTGCAAGTAATCTACAAAATGCAAACAATATGCAAGAATATAAAAAAGATTGAAAGTAAAGTTCGTGTTATAATATTTGCAGAATAAAATAAATTCCTATTTAGGTCTAATTTTTGTAGGCACGTTCACGCAGATTTTATTTTGGATAAAGATCCGCAGTCTATTGATAACATTCGACCATGCATTGCTGGATGGAGAAATATCCTCGAACGAGAACAACGCGTTGTTTGCGCGAACATTATCGGTGGAAACGTTCGATTTTTAACCTTTTCGATTCGACCTTTTTCTATTTAGATTCTATGTCTTTCTCTTTTAGAAATTAGTTGTATTAAATTGATTTTCGCTGTAAATCAATTGTCGCAACCGGATAAAAAGGGTCAATTTGCCCCAGTGTAAATGATATTCATTTTTTTTTTGTTCACATATGTTCCTGTAAGTCTCACTTGTAATTTACCCAAAGCAATCAAAAATATTCAAAGATATAAATACTTATATCCTTCTCTTTGGGAATTATCGAATGTCTATTATAACAATTAGTTACGTTTCATGGTAAAGACGTATGAATACAAGTTCTATTTTTCTGAGAAATTAGATTACATGGGATTTATGTGAAATAAATATTAAGAATAAAGTGTTTAAAGTATTGTTGAATTTGACTTATGAAGCTCCCTTTGTGTGTTATGATTGTTTAAGTTTATCAAAAATCCTGACACGTAACTCGATATTATATAAATATATATAATATAAAATATTAAAAAATATTCGTTCATACAAGAGGAACTTTAACTAACTTTCCTAACTTTCCGTTGTAACGACCATAGAGATAGTGTACATAGAGTAAAGGAGCGAAACATCCAATCGTATCACAGCTAAAATGAGAAATTTTTTTCTTTAGTAGGTACGTAAAATGTGTATGACCTCAATTTGCAAAAAAAAAATTGTTAACTGGAGAAATGGCGGCAAAAAACATGAAAATGAACGATACATGTCAGCCGTTATTTTGCAATAACTTTATGCTACAATAATAATAACTCATTAAGAATCGAGGTTCATTAGCATATAAACTTGATTACATTCAATTTAAGCGTTGAATCAAGTGAATCGGATAAAAATTCGATTAGCTATGCGTCCCACCGTTTTCACCGAATCCTTTCCTTGCGACTACTATATCTATATGTGTATACACTCAAATTAAACTACACTGTCAAATTTTCTTCTTTGAACGTCCCTTTGTATGTAAAAAAAAAGTTTCAATAACAAAAATTAATTATATCTGGAAATTATATGCATTAGAAAAATACATTAGCTGGACCATACTCCCCCCTTAAGTAGGAAATGAATCACTGTATGTTAGCGATGTATGATACAAATAGCGAATCTTCGGCACAATTATCGACCCTAATATTGCTTACTTTTGAAAATAAGTATTTTACAAGAACTTGAATACTGCAACAATGTTCCCTATAATTGGCATACTGTTTGATAATCCCTCCGATAATCCTTTATTTATTTGCTTTAATGTATATTGTACCATTTATCAGTAAACTGAACGCGATAGCAAAAAGATATCAAATGTATAATAGCAAAAAAAAAAAATATGACAAGCGAGTAAAGGGGCAGGCTGTAGATAAAGTGCTATTACAGAAACTTACTCCTAATTAGGATCTTTAAAAAATCACACTAATATTCACAGAAACGCTAGCGAAACGTAAATTCGGTTCATCGGCAAAAAAAAAACTATACCGAAATCTACGCAAAATTGACTAAACAAAACTTCGTTTCTTTACATTCATATAATACGGTGGTTTACTGTTAGACGATGGGTTTGACAAGAATGTAAGAATGTATGTAACGTAAAGAAATAGAACAGAAAAGGACAAAATACGGAATCAAACCAGACTCAGCCCTAACAGTGCAGGACCACAGCAGAAATACAACAGACTTTCTCAAAGACATCAATATATATTCTAAGATATAAATAATCGCAAATAGTTCTGTCGCTAATGACCTTGTAGTCGATGCGACATAAAACAGACAAGGAAAAAAAAACTTCATTTGAGAAATTGATAGATACCACGAAAAGATGAATATTTGTAAAAAAAAATCGATTCAGGATCGAACACTCCTATTTGTTGTTCACTCTAGAAGAATCTGAAACTTGCTCCGAAATGTTCCGATCGAGCAAAAATCATATTTCTCTGTCTTCCCGCGCGTACTTAGTTCCGTCGCGTAGTTCCACGGAAATCGAGAAACCAGAAAACTGGAGAGAAATATAGTATCGTAAAGAAAAATCGTATAATTCTCGGGACGTTAGTTTTCCGTGACGCGCACCAGAGGCGACACACCACAGCGATGTTGGTTTCGTTGCTGCACACGTGTATTTACTATTTACGACAAAGGGTATACCAGACGTACGAACGAGAATAAACCGACCGTTATTGCACTTCGTGCCAAACGCCGCGCGGATGTTACACGCTAGTAGCATTCTTAATTGCGGTAGACAACGGTTCGTATTCACGACACTTCTTCCCTGCCGACTGACAGACGGTTAACGTTCGTAAACTCCGAAACAGCGATAGAGAACTCCGCTCCGTTCTCAGAGACATCTCTCACTGGCACTTCACTCCAACGAGCGATTCAATGGTGCTTTACAAAGAAAAAAAAACCTCAAGCGTAGAAACTTTTACAGGGAGCTGCTCCGAAATAACACAACCTGCCACCAAACGGAGAGACTTACCAAAAACGTAGACTGGGATCGGTGCGGACACGTATTCGGACACAATTAACAATCCTCCGGCGTGAACAAGTAACACACAGAAAATTCCCAATGGATGTCTACCGACAACTATCTCCTGGTAAACACCTCACGCGTCAAGAAACTGATTCTCGTAACATAAACGAACGTTTGCACAGAAATGTAACACTGAAAACACCACCGGGACCACCACTGCCCTGTTTATAGGACGTCCCACGTTAATACGGTTTCCGTTGCGACGCCGCGTGGGCGCGAATCGCGGCACAAAAACAAAAAAAAGAAACGAGTTTCGTCGGCACGTAAAAGCCTCGGTAGCTGTCGCGAGAAGCTACACGCACAGGACGGAACGAAACAACACGCGCGCTGCTCGAGACGCAACTGCCGCCACTACCGGCTCTATTTCCCGCTGTACCCCACTTCTTCGCCCGCGATCCCCACCCGTCTCCACAGTGAACCGTTCACCCCACCGCGCTTGTCCTTTCCGACCATTCTTCGGTCCCTTCTTCAGCCTTCGACGCCGACGACGATTCTTCGATACCTACGGTGCGCGCCACAGTACGCGTTTCAATCAAACACCTTCGTTCATACGCAAATCCACACCAGGCTTCGATTAATGCTACGTTCGCGGAGTTTCCTTGTAGAGTGGGTGTAGAAAGTATTCGTACATCGACTTGTTTCGAACATACAACTGCGGTGCATAACTATAGCACCACTGATATTATTCAGATTTTTTAAACTTAAGGGGGTATTCTGAATTAGAAGGTTTAAAAAAAGCGGTTTTTCGTGAATTTTTTTAAGATGGAAATAAATAATTAATTCTATCCAACTTTTTATCCTATTTTCATACGTATCGAGTACTCTGCACAAATTTTTTCAACAAGAAATACTCAAATTGAGTCGACTGTGACTGTGACTGTGATTTGTGGAGCACCTCACAATTAAAACCTCCTATCGGCGAGAAAGATGCAGGTCGTAATTTTGGTTTGACACAAACAAACCAAAAGAAATTTTCATTTTCATACATTTTTCTTCTATGTGAACTAAGAAAAACCCGCAAAAATGGTGAAGTGTGAAATTACTGCAAGTTTGAAAAAAGGACGAGTTCTTTGGGTGAAAAAAATCACTTTAACTTGATAAAAAAGTTGTTTACTATTTTTTTTTGTATCAATTTTCTTAGTTCACATAGAAGAAAAATGTATGGAAATTAAAATTTCTTTTGGTTTTTTGTGTCAAACCAAAATTACGATCTGCATCTTTCTCGCCGATAGGTTTTAATTGTGAGGTGCTCCACAAATCACAGTCACAGTCACAGTCGACTCAATTTGAATATTTCTTGTTGAAAAAATTTGTGCAGAGTACTCGATACGTATGAAAATAGGATAAAAAGTTGGATAGAATTAATTATTTATTTCCATCTTAAAAAAATTCACGAAAAACCGCTTTTTTTAAACCTCCTAATTCAGGATACCCCCTTAAAAGAAAAATTCAAAGAAAGTAGTTAGATAATATGAAAAAGCGATGTACATAATTTCAGAAGAAATATACTGAAGTAGTCTAAGCATATATCGAGATAAAGTCGAAAAACATTATAGAGTCGGTGTAAAATTATAGCACCACCTTCATTTTCATCACACTTCAAGCGTGTTTGTCACAAAATTTTCATCTAATTCAGAGTTTTATTTATTAATTACTACAATGCCACGCGATAAGTATCTTACATAGAAAGAGCAAGGTGAAATTTTAGCTTATAACAAGCTAGAACTGGGAATTAGGGAAATTGCACGTAAACATGGGCGATCCCCTAAAGTAATATCAAATTTTGTTACGTAATCCATCGAAATATGGCTAAAATAAGAAAGGAAGACCTAAGAAGTAACTGTCCCCACATGCTGAGAGGCGATTATTAAAAATTGGGAGCAATAGTTTGAAAACTTGTCAGGAAATTGCAGTGGAATGTAAACTTGAAGTGTCACGTTGGACCATTCAACGTGTCTTTAGAAGGATTCCAAACATTGCCAGACAGAAACTAATTTCAGCACCCATTTTCTCTAAACGCCACAAAATAGCAAGAAAGGAATACGCCCGCGAAAACATGAATAAAAACTGGGATCATGTAAGTTTAATGTTAATTGACAAATTAAGAGGTGACATTATTTTCTTCCATTTAACGTTCTTTGTTAGGTAATATTTTCCGATGAGAAAAAGTTTAATCTCGATGGCCCAGATGGGTTCAATTGTTGAGACCTACCTTAACTGGAGAGACCTACCTTACTGGAAAGATCCAAAATATTTGTCTAAACGCAATTTTGGAGGGGGAGAACGTTAATGGTATGGGCTGCGTTTTGCTCGAGTGGCAAGCTGGAATTAGCGTTTCCTTCATCCAGTTTACGAGTACATTGAAATATTGGAGAACCATTTGTTGACGTTTATTCATTCGAAGAATCGCATTATTTGGACGTATCAACAAGATAATGCCCCAATACCCAAAAGTCGAGCAACACTAAGGAGGTTTCAAACTCGTAAGGGGCTTGGAACATCAAAAATTGAAAAAAATCACTTTTTTTTTAATTTTTTTTATTAAAATTTAAGCTATTCTGAACAATTCTACGTAAAGAAAATTGAATTTGGAGCATTAGAAGTGGTAAAAAAATTTTTTTGAAAAAAAAAATATGGAATGTTTGTTCACAAAATTTCTTTTTTTCTCACAAAAACAGTTTGACGTCACGAACTTAGTCAAATGAACGCGATAAAACTGTAAAAAATATAAGGAAATACAATTGACAACTTTCTCGAAGAGAAAACGACAGTGTAAAAAATTTGGATCATATCGGCCTAACCGTTTCTGAGGAAATTGTACCTTTATACCAAAACCTAGGGTTTCAGGAGAAGCAAAAAACTAAAAATTTGTATGTCTCGCTCGATTATCGATATAAATATTATCTAATCGTATTTCTTTTTATTAAAATCGATTAAAACACTGCTTTTTGATAATTTACCATCTTCTTTACCCTAGAAAACAATACCCTATGGCGGTGACCAAGTTAACCGCGCCTCCAGTCTTCCCCAATTTTGACCGTCGTTGTTTTCTCCTCGAGAAAGTTCTCAGTTTTATTTCCTTATAATTTTTACAGTTTTATCGCATTCTTTTTACTAAGTTCGTGTCGTCGAACTTTTTTTGTGAGAAAAAAAGAAATTTTGTGAAAAATTTTCCATATTTTTTTTTCAAAAAATTTTTGTTAACACTTCTAGTGCTCCAAATTCAATTTTCATTGCGTAAAATTGTTCAGAATCGCTTAAATTTTAATAAAAAAAAAAGTGATTTTTTTTCAATGTTTGATGTTCCGAGCCCCTTAATATAAATTTATTAAAGTGACCACCATGCTCCCCGGATAAAAATACGATGGAAAATTTATGGGGTATGATGGTACGGCGTATTTATGCACACAACCAACCATTTTCGAGCATTTGTCAGTTAAAAGAAGCTATACTAAAATCCTGGAATGAAATTAACTATGAAATATTGAAAAAACTAGTTGGGAGTATGCCAAGTCGCATTTTTGAGTTAATCGAGAAGAAAGGAGATCCTACTCATTATTAAATCATTCCCTTTTATTCATTGAAATTATAATTTAATCATTACATTATAATTCTATTGGTGCTATAGTTGTGCACCCATGAAATATCTATAGTATTATTATCAATTGTCTTAAATAAATGTTATGTTCGTTGTTTTATCATTGCCATAATATATTTTTAGCCTCTTTCACATGATACTATTAAAAATTAGAAATTATTAATTATATCTACAAAACGCACGCAAATTGTAGCGGTGCATAACTGTAACATCTTCTCGATACTGTATTATTAAGGGGGCCCACCTGTGTAAGATTATTAACAAATCAAAAATTTTTTTTCTAGATATTTATCATCTAGGAGATATTACAATGACTGTCACATAAGCATTTTATAAAATTCTGCTTAGTTCATTATTTTTCGAACCCCAAACGTGCCCGGCTCAGCGTCGTACTACTTTCGTATGAAACTTTAAACCGCGTTTTTTTCAAAACCATGCTTTTGGAAATGGCTAACAGGATCGCGCAGAATCCATTACGTGATCGGGATGAAATTTTTTTTCTACAATTTTCGAGATTAATGTTAAAAAAATTGTTTTACAACGTCTATTAGCCATTAAATAGGGGAAAAGATACCTTAAAATATCATTTTTTAGTTTATACGCCATCTTATTAACAATTTTCAAAATTTTGTGAATATCTTATCGCCAGTACCTTCAAAATGTAATTATAAAGAAGGTGATATTTTACTTTTTTGTTTCACATGATCAAGTACGATCAAATCTTGCTCGCCGAATGACTCTTCTACTTTTAAGTGCCGTCTAGAAATATCCACATAGCGAAACATTGTGATAAAATCAAAAAGCTGCTCTTTACTTTGAGGCACCAAAAATTATTAGCTTTTTTTCATACCATTTAGTAGTTTTTTATGCCCAGATTACGAAAATGTAATGGGCATCAAAAATTATATCTTATAGCTATAAATGCTTATACCCCAAAAGTCTATTCAGATTTATTAACCTTCATTCTTCTCGTATTTAAACCTGATCGCGTAGTATCGATAGTTAAAACGTTTCTTTACTATCGAATTATCTAAAAGTATAATTTCGTATCCCTTATAATCGATGTTTCGATCATCTTAACTATTCATCCTCTTCAGGATAATCACATTGTTATATAAGTTTGAAAACCTCATAAGTTGGCGTAATGAAAACAAAAAAGAAAATCAATTTAATTATTCGTTTACATACAATATTAGTTTTTAAATATTATCTTAAAGAAAAAAAATAATTGCATTACCAAAACATCAATAATTGAAATATACAACCAAATGAAATTTTTTTCGTGCTACTCGCTATCACCGCCAACCAAAAACCACCTTTTATATTATTGCGCATTCCTATAGACTATACATGCATGCAATACAAAATTAACAGTAAAGTAATAACTTAAAAGGAACACAACGTAAATTCTCGTTCGTAATACTCAAAGAAATAATCGCGCTACCTTCATTAACGAGTCGTCTGACAAGCATCGTGACCGAATGGCGAAAGAAATATGTAAAAGAAGCTCGACCGACAAATTCTCTTTTTTCATGTACTCTCTGCGCACGCACTACGCTATACGTAGCAATTTTATTTGCCCTTATAAAGATAACTGCTTTTACGACAATCGTTTACTTCTACCACGATGAAATAGAACTTCTCTAACACCTATCTGGTTTTGTTAAAGGGTGTGTGCAAACAGTAGAAGTGCTCAGACATATGCACATGTGCGTTTTTAATTTCACACGGCTGAAACCGTGGATGAGTATTTCTTAGAATTGTGATATTGAAAAGAGAAATTCGATGTCGCATATAATTATTACCAAGAATGCGGAGAATTCTTGTGTAGATAAGAATGTCGAATAACTAACAAAAAGTACACTACTATTTATTCGTTAAATACAAACTACATAGATTGTTAATATCTCTAGTAATTTACGTCTATCATCTGTAAATGTAAAAT